CCCTTCTTAGTCTATTAATAACAAAACGGATTTTTCCAATGTATAAAAGCAAAACTCAAATGGCTTTGGCTACTATACCATGGTTTTAAAAACCGGACCGGACCGGCCGGTTCAACCGGTTGAACCGCCGACCGGTCGAGGTTCCGGTCCGGGTACACCCAGTAAACCGGTCATAGTCGAAAACCGGCCTCTTTTGAGAGAACCGGAAAAACCGCCGGTTGAACCGCCGAACCGGTTGACCCGGTCCCGGTTTACCGGGATTTAAAAACGAATTTTTTGTATTTTTTTCTTGTTTTTTTTTTATTCTTTCTTTCTTTTCTTTCTTTCTTATTTTATATATATATATATATATTATATATATATAACAAAAATTTAGTTGGAAACTCTCTTTTAAGGGTTTCCTCTTGTGAGGAATCCCATTGAGAGCTTGAAATTATTGTGAAAACTTCTATCTATTTATAAGAAAAAAATTCTCCCAAAAAAACTCAAGAAATCTATGTGGGATTCAATCAAATTTATTGGAGGGAAACTTAAAATTTTGATATCCCTCCAAAATTTTTGCTTTTCTTTCAATCAAATTACTTGAATTAAAATCATATGGAGGGAATATTAAATATTTGATTTCTTCTTCCAAAATTAAAATTAAATATATTTTTAAATATATTTTTTAATAAAAAAAGTATTAAGAGAAATATTTAAGATTATTAAAATTTTTAATTTATAATTTTATTACTTATATTTTTATTTAAATATAATTTTAATATATTTATGACGTCACGGTTCGATTCCGGTTCAACCCGACGGTTGAACCGGTGACCCGTCCACCCGATCATTTTTCCGGTTCACTCACCAGTCCGGTTTTTAAAACATTGCATTGTATATCTCCTTCCATAAACCATGTAATGCCAGGTTAGTATCATAGTTCATAAATCATTTCTTTTACAATAGAAAATAGGGCGGTGAATCACACTATGAGAATTTCAATACAAATACAACATTTCACGAAAATTTCGACCGTGAGAAACCGTAAACCGACACCCATGTAAACATAGGCTATACAAGTACTACTATTGTTTTTTCACAGAAAATTCGTCCGTGGAATCGGCACCCATGTATATGCGCAGTTTTTAAGACTTTTATCATGGACACTCAGGCTAACTTATTTCAATGAGACAATACGTATTTCCCATATTCACCCTTTTTTTAAAACAATAAACATTTTCAATGTGTAAGTATGAAATAATACTCAATACAAATGAATGAAAAAATGGTTTCAATTCTCCTAATTTTCATGTACTTCTACAACGATCATAGTTATTCTCCACCGATAGTCCAAAACTAATATTTCTAAACAGCCAAACAATTTTCAATGAAGATAAACTTTCCCTAATTTCAAGAGGTGAGTGATAATACTTATCCAACTCCACCATCCTCATCAATAACAACTCAATTCCACGTTTCCAACATCAAAATCATTATTTACATAAAATCAACATTTGAGACATTTAGAGCAAAATCTTTTTTCCTTCCAAAATCAATCTCAAGTAACAAAATCGACAATCATAACTAAAAGGCAATTTAGTCGCGGAATGTAGCGACTAAAGGTTGTTTAGTAGCCAAAAGTCACGGTTTTTGGCGACTAAAATGATTTAGTAGCCAAAAGTGATGGTTTTGGCGACTAAAAAACAGTTTCGTCGCCGATTATAGGCGTTTTGCCGACTAAAAACTGTTTGGTCGCTGAATGTGAAGCTTTTTGGCTACAAAAAAAAAAATAGTAGCTAAAAACAGTCAATTGCCGACTAAAATTCAGTTTAGTAGCCAAAAGGGGATGTCTTTGGCGACTATTTTAGGCGGAACTTAATTTTTTAGCGACTAAATAATAGTTAGTAGCCGAAAATGATAGAATTGGCGACTAAAAATTTAATTTTGTCGCCAAAAGTGGCCTAAATTATTTTTAGTAAATAATTTATTTTTTACATAAATTATATTGAATTAAAATAATTACATATATATATATATATTGTTTTGTATTAATACCGGTCAATATACTATATAAATAATATATATTGCATATATATTCATGTGATGTTGTAGTGGCATAGTGGAGGGAGTGTGTTGCAAAAACGTTTGGAATGTGGGACGGTTGGCATGGTTCAAAACTCAGAAAAAGCAAAAAAAAGTGGGATTTTTTTTTCGACGGAAACACCTTTGGCGACTAAAATTGTTAGTCGCCAAAAGTCTTTATTTTGGCGACTAAGTCGTTTAGTCGGCGATTCAGTGAGCATTGGCGACTAAATTATTAGTCGGTAAATGTATGATTTTCAAAAGTGTAAAACACTATTGGCGACTAACACTTTGGTCGCTAAAGACCTGTACTTTGGCGACTAAAAAATTATTAGTCGCCAATACCTACGCCGACCACGTATACGTGACAAATGTGGCGACTAAAAAATTTTGTCGGGAAAAGTAAAATTTCGACTTTCGGCGACTAAAAACCGACTTTTGGCGACTAAAAATTTAGTCATCAAAAGTGCTTTTTCATGTTGTGCGATAGGCCAAAACCCAATTCCACGGCACCATGTTTAAAGACCCGTGCTTCATAGGAGGCCATACTCCATCGAGACAAAAGAATACAAACCCATCACGGTTGAAGTACGCATGCCTTTCGGTTACTTAAAAAAATGACAAGAAAGGGCATAACAGCCACAAACAAATCAAACAAAAACCACAAAGTAAACAAGCTTAAGTAATCCTTTCCACCAATACAAAACAAATTCCGCATCCTAAATTGAAGCTTAAAGACAAAAAGAAATGGTAAAACATTCACTGAAACCATAAAAAACACCGCTTTGGAACAATAATTTACAAATACCACCAAATTGTAGAGAAAAGGTAAGTTTTAGAGAGAGAGACAGAGAGACAGAGAGAGAGTGTGTGTGTGTCTAAACCTAGGGTTTTTGGAATGTTAAAAGAGAGAGTGAAATGAAAAAGTGACCTAAAAAGGTGGTTCTGTGATCTGATATACGCACATTTTGCTCGAGCGCAAGATGTGTCGCTCGAGCGACCAGACACAATAAGTTTACCGCTTAAGCGCAAGAAGCTTAGCTCAAGCGCAGAATACAAACTACTAGTAGTTTTACAGACAGAGGTCGTCGTTTGAGCAAAGAATACAAACTCCCAGTATTTTTGCAAACCTACAAAAGTATTGGAGGTTCACAAAGACCGCTCTAGTGCAGGAAGTGTCGCTCGAGTGAAGAAACAAAAATCTGGGTAACAAAAGTTTGAAAGACAAGCTACCAACCTGTTCCAAACGCAATCAACACATTTCAAAAGCCAAACTCGAAGAGATATAAGGGGAAATAGGACATGGATAACTATTTATGACAATTAAACCTAGATCCAAAACATCAAATGGGTCAAGTCCAAGCTAGGATCGCTATAAGTCCGATCACGGACTAGTGGGAAACCCAGTCCTTTATTTATTTATTTATTTATTCTTTTATTTTATGAACACATAAGTGTTATTATTTTCAAAAGGTATTCTAATATAGTGGGTATGATGTGACATTGGGTACATCTAAAAGGTCTACTAAAAAATTCTTCAGTGTACCTCAGTTTCATCGATCGTTACTTTCCATAATTTTCTTTTTAAATGCAATAAAAATAACAAACTTAAGTATTCCCGCAATGCAGAGGTTGATTGAATCAAAAGTTGAACAACATAAACCATACAACCAAATAATCATTTTTGTTACTATTTTGAACAAACTACACCCCACAAAATAGTTTGTTATTGTTAAAATTGTTCAAATTTTGAATTGATCATTTTGAATATCAAATTAGGCTTCTAATAACAGGTTACTGATTTGTTCAATCATCACCGATTGGATTACATGAACCGAAATTATAAACTTTTGGAACTAAAATCATGAAATTGATAGTTTAAGGATCAAGCAGAAAAAAATGGTAGTAGTTTAAAGGGAAATTAAGCCTACATTATAGACACACGTACACAAATGGACCAGCCATGGAAGTAAAGTAGCACAAAGTCATAATCAATAATATGCAACTCTCAAGTTACAGACTCAATTTACTTCCAGACCCAGTTAAAGTACATGACATTCTTAAAATTGAGTTCATAAAATTTAATACCGTTTGTTTATTGGAACGGATTGTCATTTTACTTCTTAAAACATACATTTTCAACTATGAAAATTTTCAAAATATAAGATGATTTTGTAACAAGTTATTTGATTGGAAAAATATATTACTTAAGGTTTTGACAATGAGACTATCATATATGTTTTTATATATACTACAAAAAGTGGTGATTATATTTTTGTTCTCAATTATATTGACAAAGAATGTTAGAATAATAGTAATATTATTCAGTTTTTTGTGTACGTATAACTCAAAATTTAAAACTTCTATAGCAATTTTTTCCGATGAAAAGTTACGTGCATTTGTTCCCCCAAAGTTCGAATCCATGGATCCGTCCTGAATGCACCAGTCATGGAAACTAATGTAGCACAAAGTCATAATCAATAATATGCAACTCTCAAGTTACAGACTCAACTCAATTTACTTCCATACCTAGTTAAAAGTACTTGATTGGTCATGCTACCAAACTTTCACTGAAAGCAACAACAATATGTCAAATTCACAAAAACGAACAGCTAAAACACATCTCTACTCTCAGATCAATCAACATATACTACTTAAATCCCTAAGGTCATGTTTGATTCACAATACTAATAGTGAGGTATTAATAATCCTATCAAATTAGTGTGGTATTAACTATCCCACCCCTACCCCATTACTAATAATCCTACAAATTTGTTGGATTAATTATCCATTGGATTAATAGTCCTAAACTAAAATGTCAAAACAAACTTAGGATGATTGGGCCCACGGATTAATAATCCTAATCCCATGCTTTAATCCTTCCAATCAAACATGCCATAAATCAAAAACACAGAGTGGGATAAGAAAAACCGAACCTGAAAAACATGTGGAGAGGTCAAGAAGAAGCACGCTTGCCCTCGCAGTCCGGACTCTCGCCGAAGTTGTTGGAGGGGTACTTAGCGGAGACCATACCGACCTCGAAGACCAAATCATCGCCGCTGGATTTGATTCCGGTGATGGACCACCACTGGAAGAAAGCCCTAACCCTAATACCGTTTATGTCGGCGATGCGGCCGGCGACGATCTTGCCGGTGATGTGCTTGGAGTAGGCGGCGAGGTAGTTGTCAGGAGGGAGGGTGATCTTGCAGTTGTCGCCGAGGTGGACGGCGAAGTCGCCGGAGGTGGTGTTGATGGTGTAGCCGACGACGTTGGTGGGGAGGAGGCCGACGGGGAAGCCGTAGTTGGTGAGCTCCGCGTGGGCGGTTAGCGGTGGCGACTTTGACGATGAGTTAGAGTTAGAGTTAGGGTTTGAAGAGGAGAGAGGGAAGATGAAGAGGAGAGAGAGAGAAAGGATGAGGAAAGGTTTGGCCATGGTCTGCGCAGCGTGTACTCAGAGAGGTGGAACTTGGAAGAGAGAGAGAGAGGGAAAGGGGGAGAGAGAGAGAGAGAGAATAGTAATCGGGTAAACGTTGGTTGGGGGAATATGAAGGAGACAATTACTCGTTTTATATTATTTTATTTATTTTAATGAGTTAATTAATATGATAAGGTCTTATTTGTCATAATTTAAAAAAAAATTGGAAAGTCATCATTTTATTTAAGTCATATTATCTTATTTAAGTCACATTACTTCTCTATCACAGCATTTCAACCTAAATCATATTTTATAAAAGAGTAATGATTCATCCCCCTTTTCCCCCACCCCCTTTGACCCCCTCTCTCTCTCATTGGTTACTTTTTCTTTTTCTTTTTCTTTTTTTTCCTGCTCCTCCAATCACCCCCTGCCACATGGCAAAGGGGTGAGGGGGTGACCCCAAAAGGGGGTCCCAAGCATTATTCTTTATAAAAAGTCAAAAAATACACTTATTTAAATCATATCAAATCACCCTAACAAAATTTCTATAAGTTAGTAATATTTGCAAAATATTGAAAGACTTTTTATGATTCGTTTTGGACGTGGGTTGACTTTTTGCCTATTTTAACTTAGAATTAAGAAGTCTCGTTTGAAATAGATTTTTTGACTTTTTAAATTTTTGTAAGAAAAAAATAAAATAATTATAGATTAGATGTGACATTCTATTCTATCTAACTAAAATAACTTATTTTATCGTATATGATTATTTTAGTTTAAATACTTATCCCAAACCAAGGCTATTTTAATTTATATGTATAAATATATAAAATAAATAATAACGTTAGAGTACATAAAAAAAAATTAATTAAATAAAATAAAAAATACATATTTTTATACTTTAGCTAATTTAGCTAAAAGTAAAGAATAGCATTAAAATTGTTCTAATGAGGAAGTCGTGTTGTTTGTCTATGAATCCATAAAAGTTTGCTAAAAATCTAGGAAACAACGTGCTGTGAAGCGTGGACTAGCGTGTGCTTTGAATAATTGAATTAAATTGTGTCATAATTAATTAAAGAAAATTCAATTTTCATAAATAGAAGGCATGGCGCGCTGGCATGGTGGGTTTGGATTTTAGGTCTAATTTATTATGGGGTCAATTATTTGGTTGGGGCTTTAGTATCACTTAGGAATAAATTATTTTATTAATTTTTAAAATTTTTTTATAAAAAGATGTGTAGAAAAATAATGAAAGTGTTGTGATAATTTATAATGATTTTTTAACTAAAATATATAGTTGCCAAGCGAACAAAATTTTTATTAGACTATAAATTTCATATATGTTGAACTGTTGTATGTTAGGGGATGTGAGATAGAAATAGTAGAATTGCAATTCTATGGGGATTAAGTTATAAAATAACACATTTGCCTTCTATTTAATTTCATATATTGTATTTAGTAAAGGAAAATTTATCCGAAAGTCCCGTCTCAAAATCTTGCATACTCATAAGTCATTTTTTTCGGTTAGGAGGGGTTGGTTTCCCTCTAGTCTGTGATTGAATTGGAGGGTACTATTAGGCCCGTGATGGCCCACCACGAGTCCTGCTTTAATAATCTGAACCGTTCAATGTGTAGAACATGTCGAGTACTACATGCTTGTAAAAAATATGTTGATCGGATATTGATAGCTACGTGATCAAATCAATTTTATATAAAAAAAAGAAGATGAAAAAATAAACGGTTGACAGAAATCTGATTCGATGAGATAGCTATCAATATCTGATCAACGTGATTTTTTATAAACGTATAGTACTCGATGAATTCTACACATTGAATGGTTCGGATTATCAAAACAAGATCCGTGGTGGACCCCTATGGGCCCAACAGTACCCTTCAGTCTTGTGACGCCCCAAAATAAATACAATGTACCCATCTCCTAACAACAAATAAATAGCAACATAATTAAAATGATAAGCCTTCATTAATCAGAGTTTAATATACAAAAGGTGACACATACGATATATATTCATAAATAGTACATCTTGAATCTACAACATGTGTTACAAGATAGTGAAAGGAAATGAAAGCTAAACAGATAACCATATGCCCTAATGGCTTACATCTTTCCAAGTCAATGCTTGGGTACATTAAAAGTGAGTCTTAAACTCAATACAAATAAAGCCCTAGGCTTGTACAAAAATTAAATACAAAATAATAACAATGAGTCTTCAGCTCCATAGTCTTCCCAAGCTAAGTCCTTGGTAGAGACATATTATCAGCACCTGAAATGTTTTTCTCACATAGGGTGAGCCAAAGCTAAGTAGAAGTAATCTAATACAATATATGAATCTTAACAACGCTACAAGGTGGATTCATATGCAATGCTCGTGCCAAAATATTTTTATATCTCTTTCCAAAACCATACAATGCCATAACAATGTCATGGCTCATAAATCATTTCATTTATAACAGATAATAGGATAGTGAATCACACTCTAAGAATTTCAAACAATACAATATTTCTTGAAAATTTTGTTCGGCGGAAACCATAAACCGGGACCTATGTAAATGTAGGCTATACAACCATAAACTAGAATTCACACTTTTCGAATTTAGCATACAATTTGTGGGCTCTAAGCAACTCAACCACAACTTGCAGGAGTTCTTCGTGTTCTTCCTCGGAGGGTGAGTAAATTAAGATGTCGTTGACGAAGACAACTACAAAACGGTCTAAAAATTCAAGAAAGGTCTGATTCATCAAATCCATAAACATGAGTGGTGTGTTGGTTAGCCCAAAAGGCATCACTAGGAATTCATAATGGCCATACCGCATACGAAATGTCATCTTTTGGATATTTTCCTCCCTTACCCTCAACTGGTGAAAACCCGATCTCAGGTCTATCTTAGAAAAACAACAAGTCTCTTTCAACTGATCAAACAAATCATCTATTTGTGACATTGGGTATTTGTTCTTAACAGTTACTCGGTTCAACTTTCGGTAATCAATACAAAGTCGTAATGCACCATCTTTATTCTTTTCAAAGAGAGCCCGTGCTCCCAAGACGAAGTACTAGGGCGAATAAAACCCTTATCTAGAAATTCTTGGAGTTGAATCTTCAACTCACTCAAATCGACGGGTGCAAACCTATATGGTGCCACAGAAATCGGTGTCGTGCCAAGCATTAAGTCAATAAAGAACTCAATCTCGTGATGAGGTGGTAAACTAGTGAGATCCTCAGGAAAAACATCCGAGTATTCACAACCTACCCTTGTCAAATCAACTCAGACTTCGTCACACTCACTGTCAAATAAGTTTGCAAGAAGATAACTAAACTCACTCCACCTTCGCGGATCACACACTAGAGATAAAGCTCTATCGGCTTTATCTCCCATGAAATAAACACAATCATCGCTCAAGATATATACAGTAACCGTCTAACAGTAATAATCTATGACAGCCGATACGATGGCAACCAGTCCATACCCAATATAGCATTAAAACTCGACATGTCAATTAACACAAATGCAAAAGGAAGTTGGCGGCTAGCAACCTCTATCTTACAACCTTGACACACCTATTCCAAAAAAATCTCACCACCAACATGTGACTCTACATTGAGTGGAGATGTTAACCGAGCTAATTCTAACCCCAATGCCAATGCAAATGTAGATGAGATGAATGAATGGGATGCACCTGTATCAATTAACACATTGGCAATAGAATTGCATAACAAGAAAATACGTCTCACAACTGAAGGTGCTGGCACTAAGTCTGGCGTGGTAACAGCAAACACACGCCCTGTAGGTCTCTGCTCCACCTGCTCACCTTTTGGAATATAAGTCTAATACACTGATTGAATCCGAGATGCTCCCTGATTTGCTCTCAAGGCCTGTGCTGATTGTGTAGGTTGGTGGCTTTGTGCCTACCTTGAACCAGACATACCAGATGTGCCACCTAACTGAGGGCAAAACCTCTTTATATGCCCTGATTGCCCACACTGGTAACAAGTAGGCAGATGCCCTCTTTTCTCTGAGAATGAGCCGCATGCGGTGCAGACTATTGTCCTCTTCCTCTCTACGGGTAAATTGGAGACTTGTGATCCAATTGGCCACACTTTTAACAAGAGAAACCTCCTGGATTACCTCTCCCCGAACACGAACTTGGCACAGGAAAGATGGACCTAGACTGTACTTCCTAGGACCGCTGTGGGGTGGGACCCCTCTGCCTCTTACTGTCCTGACTTTCTCCCTAAACCTCTTGACTCCTCCTGGAGCCCCTCATCCGTTCTTCCTCTACTTGAACTACGATCTCAAGTTGAGCCGCCACCTCTACAAGGCGTCCGTAGTCCTTAATCATCGACCCAACTACCTTGAAAAGAAGCCCGGTCCTCAACATCTTCTTGAACTCAATACAATGATGTTTCTCTATCGCCACAAGTTTTGGTGCAAATCTAGAGAAGCTTGTGAAAGCTGCCTCAAACTCGGCTACTGGTAAGCTAAGCTGCTTGAGCATCAGGAACTAATCTCTCAACTTCTCCCTAGCAGTGGGAGGTAAGAACTTGTCTTGGAAGGCATTGACAAAAGCCTCCTAAGTCACTCCAATGCGCCCATGTGCATACTTTCACTATTGACCTACATCTCCTTTCAGCTGGAAGGATGCTAAGGTCACCCTCAATCTATCGCCTTCGATGCCAAGCATCTCTAATGTCTTCACTATCTGTTCGAGCCACTCATCCGCTATCAAAGGCTCTTTAGGATCACCCAAAAACTCGTCCAGATTAGAGCGGAAGAACTCCCTCTTCAAGAAAGACGACCATGCTTCAACAACTTGGGCCTAGACTTGATTCTCAGCCTTGAGAATGTCCATAGATTCCTGAAAAGCTCCGACCATCTCATGGGCCAAAGCGCCCATGGCCTGTTGGCCAACTGGTTCGACCACATTGGCCTGTCTAACCCCTTCCTCTTACGCCGGAATTTCATCATGTACACCTCATGCCTTCGAGGCCTACCACGCCTATCACTACCACGTCCACATCCTGACATCCTAATGAAGGTAACAGAAGAGATTAACACATTCACAAATGTACCGAAG